CAAGTCGGGATGAGACTCCGGACAAAAAATGAACAAAAAAGAGAGGCCATAAAAAGAGAAAAGCAGGCCCAAATAAAAAAATGAAAGAAAAAGAGAGAAGGGACAATGTTACTATCCTTTTTCCACACTTGTGCTTCAAAGTAGCACCATGATCTTCATGATAAAGAGTCTCTTATTTTGTCACTTTCATATACTAGTGGGAATTTTACATTATAGAACTTGGCTTGTATATTCCAATGATGGGCTTCCTCAAATGCCCTAGGTCTTCGTGAGCAAGAAAGTTGGATGCACACCCACTTAGTTTCTTTGATGAGCTTTCATATATTTGTAGCTCTAGTGCATCCGTTGCATGGCAATCCCTACCCCTTGCATTGACATCAATCGGTGGGCATCTTCATAGCCCATTGATTAGCCGCGTCAATGTGAAACTTTCTCCTTTTTTGTCTTCTCACACAACCTCAATCATTATATTCTATTCCACCCATAGTGCTATGTCCATGGTTCGCGCTCATATATTGCGTAAAATTTGAAAAAGTTTGAAAAGGCTAAGTATGAAACAATTTCTTGGCTTGTCATCGGGGTTGTGCATGATGAGAGCATTTTGTGTGATGAAAATGAAGCATGGCCAAACTATATGATTTTGTAGGGATAAGTTTTCTTTGGCTATGTTATTTTGATAAGACATAATTTCTTGGTTAGCATGCTTGGAGTATTATTATTTTTATGTCAATATTAAACTTTTATCTTGAATCTTTCGGATCTGAATAATCATGCCACAATAGAAAAAATTACATTGAAGAATATGCTAGAAAGCATTCCACATCAAAAAATCTGTTTTTATCATTTACCTACTCGAGGACGAGCAGAAATTAAACTTGGGGATGCTTAATACGTCTCCAACGTATCTATAATTTTTTATTGTTCCAAGCTATTATATATTCTGTTTTGGATGTTTAATGGGCTTTATTTTACACTTTTATATTATTTTTGGGACTAACCTATTAACCGAAGGCCCGGTGCAAATTGTTGTTTTTTTTGCCTATTTCAGTGTTTCACAGAAAAGGAATATCAAATGGAGTCCAAACGGAATGAAACCTTCGGGAGCGTGATTTTTGGAACAAACGTGATCCAGAGGACTTGGAGTGGACGTCAAGAAACCAACGAGGAGGCCACGAGGCAGGGGGCGCGCCTACCCCCCTGGGCGCGCCCTCCCCCTCGTGGGCCCCTTGTGGCTCAACCGACCTACTTCTTCCTCCTATATATGTTCATATACCCCGAAAACAGGAGCATCGCGAAACCCTATTTCCACCGCCGCAACCTTCTGTACCCAAGAGATCCCATCTTGGGGCCTTTCCCGAAGCTCCGCCGGAGGGGGCATCGATCATGGAGGGCCTCTACATTAACTCCATGGCCCCTTCGATGATGTGTGAGTAGTTTACTTCAGACCTTTAGGTCTATAGTTATTAGCTAGATGTCTTCTTCTCTCTCTTTGGGTCTCAATACAAAGTTCTCCTCGATCTTCTTGGAGATCTATTTGATGTAACTCTTTTTGCGGTGTGTTTGTCGAGAGACGATGAATTGTGGGTTTATGATCAAGTCTATCTATGAACAATATTTGATTCTTCTCTTAAATCTTTTATGTATGATTGGTTATCTTTGTAAGTCTTTTCGAATTATCAGTTTGGTTTGGCCTACTAGATTGATCTTTTTTTGCAATGGGAGAAGTGCTTAGCTTTGGGTTAATCTTGCGGTGCTCGATCCCAGTGACAGAAAGGGAAAGGACACGTACTGTATTGTTGCCATCGAGGATAAAAAGATGGGGTTTATATCATATTGCTTGAGTTTATCCCTCTACATCATGTCATCTTACCTAATGCGTTACTCTGTTCTTATGAACTTAATACTCTAGATGCATGCTGGATAGCGGTCAATGTGTGGAGTAATACTAGTAGATGCAGGCAGGAGTCGGTCTGCTTGTCACGGACGTGATGCCTATATACATGATCATGCCTAGATATTCTCATAATTATTCGTTTTTCTATCAATTGCTCGACAGTACTTTGTTCACCCACCGTAATACTTATGCTATCTTGAGAGAAGCCACTAGTGAAACCTATGACCCCAGGTCTATTCTCCATTATATTAATCTTCCATCAACAAGTTATTTCTATTACCTTTTATTTTAAAAACTTTACTTTTAATATTTGTCATAAAAATACCAAAAATATTATCGTATCATCTCTATCAGATCTCACTCTCGTAAGTGACCGTGAAGGGATTGACAACCCCTTTATCGCGTTGGTTGCGAGGTTCTTATTTGTTTGTGTAGGTACGAGGGACTTGCGTGTGGCCTCCTACTAGATTGATACCTTGATTCTCAAAACTGAGGAAATACTTTATGGTACTTTGCTGCATCACCCTTTCCTCTTCAAGGGAAAACCAACACAATGCTCAAGAGGTAGCAATAGACGTAAACTCCTACATGAGTATAACATCCAGGTCCAGTATTTGACCAACTATTGCATTGCAAACACTGTCGGGTATTGAGTATACCAAGGAGACCTACTTGCTATTTTAAAACTACACGAGTGAGCCTCCTAACTTTCAATATGACAATTTATGACAGATCTGAATAAACAAAATTGATCTATCCACACTATTTCAATATGACCCAACACACTTGTGCAATTACAGATGCCACACCAAGTCAAGAAAGTAAATCACCTGTGAAATAGAAAGATGTTCACCTAACGATGCATTGGCACAACATATATGTTTCATAAGTATCCCTCGCTCTACTGCTTGGGCACGAGCTCAATCCTCAGACCCGCTGGCTCCGCGCATGAGTCATGTGAAAATATGCACCTAAGCCAAAAACATGGAAGAATCACAAATCAGTTACTATTAAAAATGCATTGACTTTCCAGAAAACCAAGGTTTGAATAGTAGTTAACTACATGGAAGAACATGTCACAAACATGCTGACCAGCCCCCTCTTGCTCAGAACCAGGTGCTGTTGAGGGGCTCTGATGATGTTCTCGATGCCCCTCAGAACCGGACGGTTCATATTCATGCCATCATGGCCGTCTCCGACATATATTTTACTTCCTCCACTGTCGCACCCTAGTGCTTCTCAAATCTCACTTCCTGCACATGATTCTCCATTATTGACGGTATGCGTGTAGAAAAAAGCCAAAACAAATTTCTCTTTCAGAAACCAAAAAACCTAGGGATCCACTGCCGCCTCTCGAGTTCATTGATCCGGACCATACCTCACTTCATTCTGGAAAAGATAATGAATAGATATACCATGCAGATAATTGAGACTTTTTTAACACTTGCTATGCACATGAACCTGCACTGTGTTAGTAAATTATTCAGAACAAAAATAACTTGACTTGACATAGACCAGGAAGAAATCACATGAAGTCGTGAATTAGAAAACTAGTATACCTATTATCCCATCTTAGTAAATATTTGCTACACAAGACATTAGTACAGTAATCTGTAGCAACAAAATAGGGAAGGTCATAATCAAAAACTCAAGACGAGTTCGAGCTCTTTGAGAATCAAACCAAGAACCATAGAAAGTTTAAGAGAGGAGAGGGAAGATAAGGAAGAGTTACTGGGTGGCTGTCCCCCTGATCTAGTGGTTAATTTAGCATAACAGAAGAACACAATGGACGTGGTAGGAAAGAATACAACAACCTGAATTATAAGGCATAAAGGATCTTGCTGATAGCATACTCCCGATCCTGTGGTTAATTTAGCATAACAAAACAACACAATGGATGTGGTAAGAAAGAATACAACAACATGGATTGTAAGGCATAAAGGATATCGCTGACAACGTCAAGTGGGCACAATGAAAACTGAATCTTCATAATTAGTGCTTGATGCCAAATCCTTAGAATACCTCTGACAGAGGTATCAATGCTAATTACGCTAATAGTTGCAATTTAATTCTACCTGGCCCTAATTCCTACTTCGACTTCAACAAAGTATTATCAAGATTCATGTTAAACTGAATTTAGAACTATATATACCATATGAAAATGGAAGAGGCAGGAGACCAAGGCTACTTGCCCATCATGTAAATCCATGTAAAATTTATACAATGTGTGTGTTCGTACTTTTTGGAAAAACTGATCAAATAGATACAAGACAAGCTAACTATTACAGGTTAATCAAAAGCTTACACAGCCATTTTTCTACAAAATGCAGAGAGATTCCAATTGAGCATCATGAAAATAGATCAAATCGTGCAGCTAGCGATACTGATGTGGTGGATGATTGCATATGACCAAAACATGGAACAGAAGGGAAATAGTTTTGTACAAAACACACATAACATATTTAGTACTCCTATTCTGTTACCACCACTTCCATCTAAATGTGCTCTTACTCACAAATTGCACAATCAATCTGCATTGTACTAATAACAAAGTGTGCTCCAAGTATTCGGCATTATATCCCTGTTAATTAACTCAAAAAAATTATGATGCAAGGCAATTGTTTCAGCCATAACAAGATTGTGATAATAGTGTCATCTGAATGGCAAAAAATTAGAGTAGCATCTCCCAAGGATCCTTGCTCTCCTTACATGACCTTGCACATAAACAGATTAAAAAACAAATCCACATGTCATAATTCAGAAGCAAATGCATTAGAACAACAAAAATTCAGAAGCACTTAGCAAATGAATGGCATCACCTGGATGAATATAGTTTTTTCTTCTAAACTGGTGTTAAATGGACTACTTGCACTGTAAGTTAGATCAGGAAAGCACAATCAGACCTCAAATAGATTACAACCTATGAATCAAATAAATAAATCACACGAATTTGCTTGAGAAGTTTGTAGTGCTGAAAGAAAGAAGATCTTTAAAAGAAACAACAACATCACTAAAGTTTACCCCGACACAACTGCAGATCCTCTTCCACTTCTTTCATTGTAATCAAACAAGAATTCAGAATATACCACAATGCAAATTCCAAAAATTAGAGAGTAGCTTGAGGCATGATTGAGTCGTAGGGGGAAATTAGGGCAGCAGGGAAGAGGTAGGAAGCTAAGAGGAACATCTGCGTGTGGTGCTCACCATGCGCCTCCATGTAACACCCGACCTCCACATTCTTTGCCGTCGTATCTCCTTCCATCATGAAGCCTACCCCATTCTCCTCATCTCCTACACCCCAACTCTCTGCTCTGACTCCGCCCATGGTTCACCAGGACCACCAGCGCCTACTCCGTCCACTCGCACGCGATCTCGCCCAGGGCTCTACTGGTTGAACCCACCTCGTTCTATCCAGCGTCGGCGGAGGCAGCGGGGAGGGGACGGTTGCCAGAGAATGGGCGAGGAGCAGCCACACTCACGGTCGTTGCGGCGAGCGCTTGAGGGAGGATGATGAGGGAAGGGGATCGGCAGCGACTGCGAGGGTGAGGGCGGCGGTGACTGAGACGGCGAGGGTGCGGGCTTGATGTGCGAGGGCGACAGTGAAGGTATCTGGTGTGGCGTCGCTCGGGGGCACCTGGAGGCTTCGCTTTCTCATTCACATGTTGCCAGACCAAGATGATTTTTTCGCTGGTTTTCTTTCGTCGGTTTATTTTCGTCCATTTTTTTGGCGTGGAGGGGAGTACCTGGAGGCATCGCTCCCTAGTAACGTGGGTTGGTTTGATTTTTTTTTTGGCATGGAGGGGACTACCTGGGAGGTGGGAGCAGGGACGAAAATAAACTAGAAAAAGGTGGGACGAAAATAAACTGTGGAACGGAGACTATCAAGTCGTCCCTTAAGAGTAGAGATAGGGGATCGTTTGTAGCTAATACGTCTTCATCGTATCTATAATTTTTTATTGTTCCATGCCAATATTATACAACTTTCATATACTTTTGGCAACTTTTTATACTATTTTTAAGACTAACATATTGATCCAGTGCCTAGTGTCAGTTCCTGTTTGTTGCATGTTTTTTGTTTCGCAGAAAATCCATATCAAATGTAGTCCAAACGGGATAAAAACTGACAGAGATTTTTTTGAAATATATGTGATTTTTGGGAAGAAGAATCAACATGAGATGATGCCCGAGGGGGCCACGAGGCAGGGAGGCGCGCCCCAGGGGGTCAGGAGCGCCCTGGGCCCTCATGGCCACCCCGTAAGGCGGTCGGTGCCCTTCTTTCTCCGCAAGAAATCTAATATCCGGATAGAGATCGTGTCCAAAATTTAGCCCAATCGGAGTTACGGATCTCTGGGAATTTAAGAAACGGTGAAAGAGCAGAATCTGGAACGCAGAAACAAAAAGACAGATCCAATCTCGGAGGGGCTCTCGCCCCTCCCACGCCATGGAGACCATGGACCAGAGGGGAACCCCTTCTCCCATCTAGGGAGAAGGTCAAGGAAGAAGAAGAAGGAGGGAGCTCTCTCCCCCTCGCTTCCGGTGGCACCGGAGTGCCACCGGGGCCATCATCGGCACTGCAATCTTCACCAACAACTTCACCGCCGTCATCACCAACTCCCCCCCCCCCTCTATGCAGCGGTGTAACCCCTATTTTACCCGCTGTAATCTCTACTTAAAAATGGTGCTCAACGTTATATATTATTTCCCAATGATGTATGGTTATCCTATGATGTTTGAGTAGATCCATTTTGTCCTATGGGTTAATTGATGATCATGATTGGTTTGAGTTGCATGTTTTATTATTGGTGTTGTCCTATGGTGCTCTTCATGTCCCGCAAGCATGAGGGATCCCCACTGTAGGGTGTTGCAATACGTTCATGATTTGCTTATGGTGTGTGGCATGAGTGACAGAAGCACATACCCGAGTAAGTAGGTTGTTTGCATAAGGGAGTAAAGAGGACTTGATACTTTAATGCTATGGTTGGGTTTTATCTTAGTGATCTTTAGTAGTTGTGGATGCTTGCTAGAGTTCCAATCATAAGTGCATATGATCCAAGTGGAGAAAGTATGTTAGCTTATGCCTCTCCCTCAAATAAAATTGCAATAATGATTACCGGTCTAGTTATCGATTGTCTAGGGACAAGTAACTTTCTTGTGACAAAAAGCTCTCTACTGAAACTAATTTAGTTGTTGTATTTATCTAAACAGCCCCTACTTTTTATTTACGCGCTCTTTATTATCTTGCAAACCTATCCAACAACACCTACAAAGTACTTCTAGTTTCATACTTGTTCTTGGTAAAGCGAACGTTAAGCGTGCGTAGAGTTGTATCGGTGGTCGATAGAACTTGAGGGAATATTTGTTCTACCTTTAGCTCCTCATTGGGTTCGACACTATTACTTATCTAAAGAGGCTACAATTGATCCCCTATACTTGTGGGTTATCAAGACCTTTTTCTGGCGCCGTTGCCGGGGAGTCATAGCGTGGGGTGAATATTCTCGTGTGTGTGCTTGTTTGCTTTATCACTTAGATCTTATTTTGATGTTCTAAGTTGTTCTCTATATTTAGTTATGGATATGGAACACGAAATACTAAAAAAATTAGGTGTACTTGATACTCATGGAGATGGCGAACCTCCTAAAACCCTCGATGCTGGTTATGTGAAAAATATTATGTACAACTTTAATAATCCTGAGAAAACCCCATTCAATTATGTAGTGGGAGACATGTTGGATCAACATGAATACTTTAGGGATTATCACTTGACTCAAAAAGGGAAACTATTATGGGATCTAATTCATATGTTGCATTGGTATGCTCAGGAACTATGCTTGAGATATGATTATACTTGTTGCTCTAGGATGAAGGCTCCACACCTTCCCTTTTCATGCAAATTTAATGATGATAAAACCTTGGCTTCTTATGCTAATGGCATATATGATTACTATGATGTGGAACAAATAGAAGAATTCGTTGATTTTATGGGTGCTTATGAAATTGAATCTTTGTTTAAAGAGTGTGAAAATCTTGATGATGGTGTTTACAGACCTGAAATTTTTGCTATACTTAAATATTGCTATGAGAATTATGAATTCAATTATGATATTGATGGTTGTATTGAGAGAGTCTCCGCTGTCCAAAAAAAGATTAATATTTTGCAAGATTCTATGGAAGAAGAAATTGATGAAACTGTGAGCTTATTGGATGAAAAAGATGATGAGGAGAACGAAGAACAAAAGGAAGAAGAATGGATTAGCTACCCGTGCCCACCTTCTAATGAGAGTAACCCTCCAACTCATACATTGTTTAATGTTCCTTCGTGCTTACCGATGGATGATTGCTATGATAACTATTATGATCCCGTTGATTCTTTTGAAATATCCCTTTTTGATGATGCTAGCTATGCTTGTGGCCAAGATGCCAATATGAATTATGCTTATGGAGATGAACTTGCTATAGTTCCTTATGTTAAACATGAAATTGTTGCTATTGCACCCACGCATGATAGTCCTATTATCTTTTTGAATTCTCCCGACTACACTATATCAGAGAAGTTTGCCCTTATTAAGGATTATATTGATGGGTTGTGTTTTACTATTACACATGATGATTTTGATAGATATAATATGCATGTGCTTGCTGCTCCTACTTGCAATTATTATGAGAGAGGAACTACATCTCCGCCTCTCTATGTTTCCAACATGATAAATTTGCAAGAAACTGTTTATACTATGCATTGGCCTTTACTTTGTGTGCATGAATTGTTCTTTTATGACATGCCGATGCATAGGAAGAGAGTTAGACTTCATCATTACATGATACTAGCACATATGCCCGTGCGTTGCAACGGGAGATAAAATAGTATGCATTTAAAATCAATGAGAATTATATGTGCAAGCAAAACCCTGCGTGCACACGAAAAGAAACATATAGTTTCTCGGTTTCGCCGCGTGTGAAGGAATCAATCCACTATTTTTCCATTCATTGATTGAGGGCATTTAAGAGTTTTGTTACGTCATCGTACGCGAGAGAAGACCCATGAGTTATTCAATATACTCTTCCTTTCAATCCTTTCAATCGAGGGGATTTCAAGGTATGTAGTTTCTGAATATTCTAGGAAACATGAACAATATTTTAAATCCTGAACAATTTTTTTAAAATTATGTACACTTTTGAAAAAACGCGAACAAAATATGAAAGGGAACATATTTTAAAATTCACAATTTTTTAAAACACCAATTTTTTATTATAAAAACATGAACATTATTTGAATTTGTGAATATTTTTTTTAAAACAAGAACATGTGTTGAAAATTCATAAGATTTTTAGAAAATGTGTATGTTTTATATACTAATATTATTTTTTATTTTGAAAATTTCACTAAAATAATAATATTTTTTGAATTCGGAGCATTTTTTAAAATGCCATTTCCTTTTTGGAAATCTCGAACAATTTTGAAAAGCAATATTATTTAAAAAATGGGAAACTTTTTAAAGTTCCAAACACTTTTCAAAATAGCAACAAAGTTTTCGAATTCTGAACATTTTCCAAAATTTGTTTTTTTTATTCTGAATGTTTTCGGGGAATTTTATATTTACGAACTAAATTTTAAAAGAAAAATAAACTTGGAAGTGAAAAAAGATATAGGGAAATGAGAACAAAAATAGAAGTAAAACACAGAAAAAAGAAAAATGGGCCAGCGTATTATTGGTTGTCCTGTGTGAAACTCTGACTATTTGTCGCCCTGTGCGGAAAATAGAATTTCACCAGCTGCGTGGGCAGAAAAATAAGTGGGCTGGCTTCGCTGGGCCACAGCGCGCGGCCCATGTACGAAAATTCTTTTTCTAGTAGACAAACGCAAAAGAATTTAGTACCACCTCGGATAAAAAAATCTTTTCGGCGGTGAACGGATGAAACAATTGGTGAAACACACCTTGCTTTATTAGTAGGTATAGGTATGTTACTTAGTGCTCACTACTAAATTACAAATCATTGTTAATTAAAATTGGCTTTGATATACCTTGGGAACCGGGTGGATTCATTACTTGAGCACTTTATGCCTAGCTTAATGGCTTCAAAGAAAGCGTTGCCAGGGAGACAACCCGAAAGTTTTAGAGAGTCATTTATTTCTGTTGAGTGCTTTTATATAGTTTAAAAACCAAAAAATAAAGAGGGGAACCTAAAACTTTTCAAAAAGGAAAGTGAAAGTGAGAGAGACAAGCATTGTTGAAGTGGGGGAGCTCCTTGAACTTTGTTCATGCTCACGGAAACTTTGTGAATCTTGATGTAGTGACCCGACCCGAATGGATCAAGTCTCTTTGCTTAAGT